TTGGGGTTGTGCCAATTTATTACCAAACATTGAGCCTGTGGGCTTTAAGTGGGAGTCTTATCCCCATGAGCCTTATCTCAGCCAATTACCTTTCTTGACAATAGGAGCGGCTTCCTTTTCTCATTCTTTCTCTTCACTCCACTTTCTTCATTTCCCCCCTCCGTCCTTCATCGCACTGCTTTCCCATTCTTCTTTCTGAGTGGTAAGGGAGATTACCTCCCTGCTCAAGGACACTCCCTGTTGGGCAGAGTACGTGCCTACAGAAAGTTCCATGAACCTGTAAGCACTCCAGGTGAGGAAGTGGACAGGAGCCATTGGACATAACCAGACAGAATTTGGTGAAGTTGTCATAACGCTCCACTGAAATTTTTAAAGAAATATATGTAGCATGATTTTCTAGATAGGCAAAAAGCGTATTTAAATAGGATTTGAATCATGCAACAACCAGAGTATCACAACCAGGATGACCTCTGGACCCCATTCCTAGGACACAGTTACTTTCATTTTCCCCTTGTTCAGACATAGGAAAACTTAACTTTTAAAAGGTCAATGTCCAGTTGAAGGCAGAACACTAATCAGATTTCAAGGCCCAAAACTTGGGGACTAGACCACCTTATGTTGAGGAAACTCTGCCACGTGTGTGAAATCCATGGATACAACAAATTAAATGACACTACTGCCCTGATTACTCCTTAGGATGTGGTCAAAACAACATCAAATGTTTCTTCTCTTCCTTCCCCCAAGACAGTGTCCTGAACCTGTTAAATTAAGTCATTGGATTTTACTCTGTTCTGTTTACAGTTTACTATTTAAGGTTTTATAAATGTAAATATATTTTGTATATTTTTCTATGAGAAGCACTTCATAGGGAGAAGCACTTATGACAAGGCTATTTTTTAAACTGCGGTATTATCCTAATTTAAAAGAAGATCGGTTTTTAATAATTTTTTATTTTCATAGGATGAAGTTAGAGAAAATATTCAGCTGTACACACAAAGTCTGGTTTTCCTGCCCAACTTCCCCCTGGAAGGTGTACTTTTTGTTGTTTAATGTATAGCTTGTTTGTGCCCTGTTGACATAAGTAACTGTTTCCTGGGTTTGCTTTTTGACAATAAATGGAGAAGGAGGTCACCCAACTCCATTGGGCCACTCCCCTCCTTCCCCTATTGAAGCTCCTCAAAAGGCTATAGTAGTATCTTGATACAACAGTGTCTCCTTGTCTTTCTCACATTGTCTCTCTCTTTTCTGGTTCTTGCTCCAGGGTGGTGAGAGACTCTTTCACATTTCCCTGATCTTTCCTACTTCACAGTTAGCAACCAACAAGTTGAATGGCAACTTGACATTTTCCATCACCATCTGCCTCATAGGTCACCTCCTTCCCTTTCCCTCTGCCCACCAAGTCCTCATATCTGCAAAAACCCATTGATCTCCTTGCTCCCTCTTTGGGGGCAGCCTGTTGAAACTGAAGCACAGTCTGACCACTCACGATAAAGCAGATTTTTCTCCTCCTCTGCCACAAGGTTTCAGAGTAAAGTAATCCAGTAGAGGGTGGGGCACCCTTTTCTAGCCACAAGAAGCCCATTCTTATGGAAGTCTAGCAAAGCAATACGACTCAGCCCAGCACACTCTGCCCCAGGACTCATGGCTCTGCTGTGCCTTCCATCCTGGGCTCCCTTCTCTTCCATGACCTTAAGAACTTTGTCTGGTGGCTTTGCTGGAACATTGTCACTGTTTTCACTGTCATGCAGGGAGCCTAGCACTGTGGCCAGGATGGCAGAGACTTTCTTGTCATCATGGAGAAGTGCCAGCAGGGGACTGGGGAAAAGCACTCTACCCAGACCTCATCTCCCGTCCTCCTTTTGCCCGTGAACAAGATGCAATGGCCCTAGGGGTTCCACTAATGTCTTGTTCCCTTTACTATTGCACTGTGTGAGGTTTTTTTGTAGATCCTTTTATCCCTCCCCCTCTCCTTTTTTTTTTTTTTAAGAAAAAAAAAAAATACTTAAGCTGCATTTGTTACTGAAACGATTAATGCACTGATGGGTCATGAATTCACATTGAGGAAGACCCAAAGGCCAGTCAGGGGGTGGGGGAAACTCAGCTAACTAGACCTAGTTACTGCCCTGCTAGGCCGTGCTGTACTGTGAGCCCCCTCCTCGTTCTCTTTCTACCAATCCCAAACCCTGAGGACAGGGGAGGAACCCACATCCTTCCTTCTCCTGCCAGCTGCGGATGGTTTGCCTTGCCTTTCTACCCCCTAATTGTCAACCACAGAAATGAGAAATCCTCTATAGCTCAGCCTTGAGTCCATTGCCAAACTTCAGCATACCTGCCAGCAACTTGGGGGATAAGCCAAAGTTTCTCTGCGATAGGGAAAAGGCAAAAATGGCATAGCTATCTCCAAAACACCTCTGAGTTTGATTTGAAAGCGACCAAGGGAATCTGCACAGGAGTGCAGACTGAGGAACTGTGGTGGGTCATTCCCGAGAATCCCCCAAGGGGCATCCCAAATCCCTAAGGAGTAACAGCTGCAAGCCTGGTCAGTTCTCAGTGAGAGCCAGCTCACTTTTAGCTTTGCTGCTAGAACCTGTTGTGGCTGCATTTCCTGGTGGCCAGTGTAAACTGTGTAACTAGAATAGCTGCATGGCGCTGAACCTGTGGCCGGAACTTGGTCCCTTGGCTCCCTCAGTTATGGTCCACCACCTCCAGCACAGCCCCTCCTATTTTTAGACCAATAACAAGATTTGAGGGGGAAGCCTTGGCAGCTATAAGTTTTCAACCACACTCCTTTGCCGGGATCCAGTCCACCACCCTGCTCGCCTCAGTCAACCTCCCCCCTCCCGGCCAATGCAGTAAGCACCATGCAGCTCTCTTGATTTAAAAAAATAATAATAAAAAATAAAAAATACAACAAAAACAAAAAAAAAACTTTTAATGAATGTATCTTTCTAAAGGACTGACTTCAATCAAATATTTGGAAATACTAAAGGTCAAAACCTTGTCCAATGTTAGCTTTTAAGTTTGATTTGGGATTTTTTTTTTTTTTTACTAGAAATCAAATTTGTTTGTTACTTTAAAGGAAAAGTGGGTCATTGCAAAGGGCTGGGTATAATTTTATGTTTCGTTTTCCTTCATTTTAAAGCAATACAAGGTTATTGAGCAAATGGTTTTGTGCTGAATCATGAATACCAGTCGTCTCACACTCTGAAAACTCGCAACTTTTTTGTTCGTTTTGGTTTTCAAATAAATATAAATATGATATATATAGGAACTAATATAGTAATGCACCATGTAACAAAGCCTAGCTCAGTCCATGGCTTTTAATTCTCTAAACACTATAGATAAGGATTGTGTTACAGTTGCTAGTAGAGGCAGTAAAATGTCAGTCTGGCATTCCTCTCATTCCCTACACAGGGAAAACCAAACTTAAAGGGATGGTAAAATGGTCCATTCCTAGGATCAGAGAGCAATGCGAAAATGGTGTCACCTGGATTTTTTTCTGCCCATGAATGTTGCCAGTCAGTACCTGTACTCCTTATTTCTCTCTTTTTGGTTATGAATGTTGGGGTTACCACCTGCATTTAGGGGAAAATTGTGTTCTGTGCTTTCCTGGTATCTTGTTCTGAGGTACTCTAGTTCTGTCTTTCAACCAAGAAAATAGACTTGTGGTGTTTCTTTTATTGAACTTTTAACAGTCTGTTTAGTAAATACAGGTAGTTGAATAATTATTTCAAGAGCTCAACAGATGACAAGCTTCTTTTCTAGAAATAAGACATTTCTCGACAACTTTATCACGTATAACAGATCTTATGTTTTCTTTTTTTCCTTGTGTTCTTCCAAGCTTCTGGTTAAAGAAAAAAGAGAAAGAAAAAAAAAAAAAAAAAGGAAAACTTGTCTAAAGTCCATCAGTGTTAACTCCCTGTGACAGGGATGAAGGAAAATACTTTAATAGTTCAAAAAATAATAATGCTGAAAGCTCTCTACGAAAGACTGAATGTAAAAGTAAAAAGTGTACATAGTTGTAAAAAAAAAAAGGAGTTTTTAAACATGTTTATTTTCTATGCACTTTTTTTTATTTAAGTGATAGTTTAATTAATAAACATGTCAAGTTTATTGCTGCAGATGGTTGAGCTTTCTTTTGGCCATGGCTGGGGTGGAGCACTGGGGGAAAGGGGTGGCCTGTAACCTGGCTACAAAGTACCTTCCACAGACATTTATTTTAAGGTGGAATCAGTAAATCATTTCCCTTACCCTTCCTCAAACTCCACTCTGCTTGACTTTCTTAACAATTTTCTCCCTTTACTTGTCATTATTGTATGTTCAGGACCTAATTAATTCTGCATGTGAGGAAGGGATCAGGACAATGGAGGAATAGTTCCTTTTCATCTATATAGTCTCCTATCTTTATACAACAAAGTTCAAGCAGTGACTTCTAATCATTTTCACCCATGCTGTGAATATAATTTAAAAAATTGCTGGGGGTAGTGGGGGTGCTCTGGTGGTGCATTAGTTAAGGCATTTAGCTGTTAACCAAAAGGCCAGTGGTTTGAACCCACCAGCTGCTCCACAGAAGAAAGATGAGGCAGTCTGCTTCCATAAAGCTTTACAGACTTGAAACCCAATGGTGGTTGCTATGAGTCAGAATAAACTCTGGCAGTGAGGTGGTTCTTTTTTTTTTCCCAGTTTTGGATTGCAGGGAGAAGCTAGTGAGTGCCTTCTCTTTTCTCCACCTTAAGACCAAAATGAGATTTGCTTACTCTTTTTCACCTAGGACTAGGGTGGGGGTTGCAGTTGAGAAATATTTGTAAATGTCTTGCCAGAGTCAGTGCCAGTAACCCCAGACAGAAGGGGTTGAGCTTATACTTCAGCCAAGAGATGGAAGACACTCCTCATTGGGGGTGGTCCTCGACCTGTATCAGCTAGCAACTGCTGAAGGCTCAGTCCTGCACTCCTCCTCCTCTCATTCTGAGCCTCATTTTTGGATTTTGGAATTGAGCACCATGGGGACCCCAAATGATCAGGCAGTGTTGCAGGCCATCTTCAACCCTGACACCCCATTTGGAGACGTTGCTGGGTTGGATCTGGGAGAGGAAACAGAGGAGCAAATTGATGGAGGTGAGCACTTGACTTTAGAGTGTAGCTCTCCCCATAGGCTGGCCCTCTGGCCTCTACAAAGTAGCAGAGGGAGGTAGTTTCATAAGACCCCTGATAGTATGATTGAGACTGAAATTAAGAGTTTGGCTGATCCTGAGTGCACTGATGGGCTTGACACAAGTTACTGCTAAGAGAAAACCAGGGTTTATCTCAATCCTTTCACCTCTGAAGTATCTCACTGCTTAATTCACCCTATGATCCAAGTTTAACTTGGTGTGTGTTGGATAAGAAGGGGATGTTAAAATCCGGATCTTTATCATAGTAGAGAACATTACCCTACACAGGATGGAAGACAGAGCAGGGAATAACTCAATTGAGTGGCTTCCAACATAAGCAAGCAGAACAAGAATTTGTTTAGCACTATTACAAGCCCAAGAAGAGCTCTGGTGGCACATTGCCTAAGGCATTTCATTGCTAACCAGAAGATGAGGCAATCTACTTCCACCTTGGATTTACCAGCCTGGAAACCCAATGGGGTCGCTATGAGTCAGAATTGACTCAATGGCAGTGGGTATTACAAGCCAAAAGTAACTCAAGTGGTGTACAGGCAATCTGGCTGCTACCAAACAATCACAGAAGAAAGATGGGGCAGTCTGCTTCCATAAAGATTTACAGCCTTGGAAACCCAATGGGGGTCACTATGAGTTGGAATCAACTCGGTGGCAGTGAATTTGGTTTGTGGTTTGTACAAGCCAAAGTAACCCTAATGGTACAGTGGTTCAAAACCACCAGCCACTCTGGGAAAAAGATGTGGCTGCTTCCATAAAGATCATAGTCTTGGAAACCCTCGGGGGCAGTTCCACTCTGTGCTGTGGGGTTGGTCACTATGAATCAGAATGATCACAACAGCTCCAGGTTTGGCTTGATTTGGTTTGGATTTATTATAAGCCAAGCACTGAGCTAACTTCCACAGAGTGGGTGCACTCAGAGACTTTTCCATTGGTCCCTAATAGAGAAGTTTTTAATGAAATAGTGTCACTAATAGCTACATTGCTAAATTGTGGAATGGAAAATACTAAATAATACTCCTCCTTGCTCTTTTAAAAAATAATTTTTGTTGAAAATATACACAGCAGATCACACACCAACAATTTCTACATGAACAATTCAGTGGCACTGAGTACATTCAAGTGGTGCAACCGTTCTCACCCTCCCTTTCCATTATTCCTCCCCCACTGACGCAAACTCACTGCCCCCTAAACTTCATACCTAGCCTTTGGAGTTGCTGTTGTCCATTTGATCCCATATAGACAGTTCTTTAAGAGAACACAGTGCTCAAGTCAGACACTGTTTACTAATTAAGATTGGGTGATCTATTTCCGTAGTGATACCACCTCAGAAACCCAAGGAGGGGTCGCTATGAGTTGGATCCAACTCCACGGCAGTGAGTTTGGTTTTGGTTTGGTTATTGTTTGGAGGAGGAGCCCTGGTGGTGCAGGGGTTAAAGAGCTTGGCTGCTAACTGAAAGATCAGAGGTTTAACCCTACCAGCCGCTCTATGGAAGAGAGATGTGACAGGCTACTTATGTAAATTTACAGCCTTGGAAACTTTATGGGGAAGTTCTACTCTGTCCTACAGGGTCAGTATGAGTCAGAATCGACTTAGCAGCAGTGGGGTTTTATTGTTTGGTTTAAAGAAGATTTCAGGAGATATTTCTGACTTAAGGTTTAAAGACTATCTCAGAGCAACAGTTTCAGGGGTTCATTCAGCCTCAATAGCTCTAGAAAGTCCGGATTCTATGAACATTTGAAATTCTGTTTTGCATTTTTCCCCTTTTGATCAGAATTCTTGAATAGAAACTGTGATTAATATGTTCAGTAAGGTCATCATCCAGTTCTGGTCTCATGGCAAAGGTACAATTGGTCTCTATTTACCTGGAGCAACAGAGGAAGAAGAGAGTCAGGAATAGGAGGAAATGGAATGTGTGGCTAATTGCCTCTGTGAACAACTGCCTCTGGCTTTTCTTTTAAAAGTTTGGATTCTACTTTGCCCTTTTTTTTTTTTTTTTTGCTTTTTTATCAGTAAATACTGTACCAGGTGTTAGAGATGGAGTGATCTGTGGTGCAAAGTCCTTCCCTTAGGAAGAAGAAAGCTCACTGAGAGCTGGGAGCCCAGATCACATAACCAGACTACAAAGGAAGATGGCCAACAGTGGTTGGCAACAGTGGCTGAGGGACAGTGCAAATAAAAAATTGTTGTCATCATGGAAGAACTGGAGATTGAGAACGGATTTGGAGAAGGATGAGGATTTAGCCAAGTGGAGAAAGGGAGGAACAGAGTAGATGTAGTGGTGGGAAGATACATGTATGTTTAGGAAATGAGTACATGCTTCTGGCTGGAACAGTGAAGTGAGAAATAAGGCTGTAGAAGTGGAAGGAAAGAGCACCAGGAACACAGGCTACAGAGTTTGGCCTTCATTCTCTTGGCAACGGAGAACCAACTAACGTCCCTTTCAGAGGTCCCTTTGGCACTTAGGTAGTGCTAGTTCCCAGCCCTGATGACCTCAGCTCCCCCTGCCCCAAAAACTGCACCTGAATCTCCAGGTGTCTTTTGCTTCTTGCTCCCAACCTCACACCTGTTCCTTCCAGGATCCCTCCCTGGCACAGATGGAATTTTTCCCCAAGAGCAGCTGGAGCAGTCCAAGAACCTGGAGCTCCAGGGAGTGATGGCAGCAGAGGCTGGGGACCTCAGCACAGCCCTGGAAAGGTTTGGCCAAGCCATCTGCCTGCTGCCTGAGAGAGCCTCTGCCTACAACAACCGAGCCCAGGCCCGACGACTCCAGGGAGACGTGGCAGGTGAGGGAGGAATGTTCTGGAGCCTCTACAGAAGGCGCCTGGAGCACAGAGCACAGATAAAGTGGTTGTGGGGCCGCAGCATGTATGTGCGACCTCTCTTGAGTATCACTCACTCAACCCCTCTGCAGCCTGTGTTCTTATCAAGTATGAGATCTCTCATGAGCCTTGATAGCCTCATGGGGTTATTGTGAAGAGATTAAACTCACTGCCATGGAGTCAATTCCAATTCACAGTGACCCTGTATAGGACAGAGTAGAACTAACTGCCCCATAAGGTTTCCAAAGGAGCTCTAGTAGCATAGTGCCTAAGGCACTTGACTGCTAACCAGAAGGCTGGCAATTCAAACTCACCAATCACTCCTCAGAAGGAAGGTTGGGCAATCTACTTCCGTAGTGATACTGCCTCGGAAACCCAAGGAGGGGTCGCTATGAGTTGGGGTCGACTCAACAGCATATAACAACAACAAGGTTTCCAAGGCTATAAATCTTCATGGAAGCAGACTGCCACATCTTTCTCCTGTAGAGCCACTGGTGAGTTCGAACTGCTGACTTTTTGGTTAGTAGCTGAGCACTTTAACCACTGCTCTACACAATAACTGCTCTATAAATGCTAGCTGTAAATACCATGTTTTTAATCTTTGTATCCTCAGCACCTAGTCCATTGTCACACAGTAGGCTCTCAACAAATGTATTCTCCCGGGCCCTCCACCTGCCTACCAGAGTTGGCAGTTAACTACAAATCTGATGAAAATCCATGTGTCAAAAAATCTCAAGAGTTTTTATCCAGGAGAAATCAAAAAGTGAACATTATTCTTGTCTCCTGCTCCTCAGTTGAGTAAATGGGAATATTTTAGCCAACAAAGTTCATCACAACAGGCACCATTCTAAAGCACTTTACATATAAGCTATAGTAACTCATTGAATACAACAACCATGAAAGGTATGTACTATTATTATTCCCATTTTACAGATGAGAAATGAAGAGTTAAGTAACTTGCCCACTATTACATGGCAAGAAGTGGAAGGGCTGGGATTTGAATCCAGGTGGTGAGACTCCAGAATGTGTGCTCTTAATCCCACTAGACTGCTCCTCCAAGAGCTTACATCAGGGCAGTAGAACAGACCCCACATTACGACACTAACATGATGGCAAGGAGAGAGCTCAGCATAGAACTTCCTCCTAGGGTGAGTTCAGAAGGATGACTTGCAGTAAGCAGGATGAGGGGTGGGAGTGGGAAAAGGTACAGCCTGCAGAGCCCCGAAGGCATGAAGAGGCACAGAGGACTTCATCTCCAGGTTGGCTGGAGTACGAAGTGTCACAGGCATGGTGAGTAGAGCCTCGAGATGTGAGCAGGGGTCAGATGGTGAACACCTGGGAATGTCAGGCCGAGATCAGACTGTATCTTGAAAACATGAGGAATCACCAAAGAGTTTTTAACTGGGGAGTGACTGGATCAAACTTGCTGCATTCAGGTTACTCTGACTGAAGTGGGAACAAGAGGACTATGCTGGAGGCCAGAGCTCAGACTGATACAAAGGTGTAAACCATGGGGGGGAACTATGAGTTACTATTAGTGGTGGCAGGGGTGCTACCCCAGGACCTCAATCCCAGGCTGGGGAGTTTGGATTCAATTCTAGGAACAATGGGGAATGCCTGAGGCTCCCTTTCAGGGGCAGAGACATAGAGGCCACTGGGGACAGCCTGTAAACCAAAACCCAAGAGGTACAGATGTAATCTTACCTGGAGAGGGTTTCTATTCTCCCCTACTCCCTGCCCCCGAGTTTCCCTCTGAGGGAAACCAAGGACTCTGCATTCAGAGAGTTTCTCAACTGTTTGGGGACCAAAATACACAGACAGGACAGGTAGACTAGTCTCTCTCCAGAAGGGTGCTGGAGCTCTCCAAGCACCCTGCCAGGCTCTTTAGAAGACTAGAGAATGAGAGTGAATTGAGACAGAGCCCAGAAGCCTGGTCAGCCTTACAGACAACACTCGCTGGTTCTCATGAGGTTCCAACTTCAGAGCTCTGAGGCCGAATACTACTGTTTTATAAGAATAACAAAAATGAAAAATGGTGCAAACCAGTTCTGGTGCCACATCTTCTTCAAAGGAACTTAGATACAAAATAATTTAGACAACAGAAAGAATGAGGAACAGAGGCTAGGAAATAGGTGAGAGATTTAGCTGTTCTAAAGCACACAAACCCTCAAAAGAAAAAGAATGAGAAATGACTTTATTGTATTTGTAAGAAATAGTAATGCAGTTAATTTTTTTTTTTTTTTTTTTTTTTTTTTTTTGACCCTGGGATTCAGATTCACTCACCTGGCACATGGTAGGTGCTTAATGACTTATGTGTGGAATAAATTGCCTGCTATGTGCCAGGTTCATTAAACTGGCCATTTAAAATCTTCCCCACAATCTTCATGTTTTGGTATGTTATTGTTGTTAGGTACTATAGAGTCCTTGTTCACTATAGCAACCCTATGTGACAGAGTATAACTGCCCCATGAGGTTTTCTAGGCTGTACAGGCACACCACAGAGATATCGTGGGTTCACATCCAGATTACCACAGTAAAGCTAATACCACAATAAAGTGAGTCACACAGTTGTTTTTTTTTTTCCTAGTGCATATAAAAGTAATGTTTACACTATATTGTAAAGTGTGCACTAGCATTATGAAAGTTTAAAATGTTTAAAAAATTACGAAAATGAGACACAAAGAATAGGAAGTGAGCACATGTCAGAAAAAGAGCTCTGACAGACTCTCTCCAAGCAGGTTTGCCACACACCTTCCAACTGTTTTTTTTAAAAACCTCAATATCTGAGAAGCGCTATAAAACGAGGGATGCCTGTTGTATTTAGGAGAGCCGATCACCAGGTCTTTCTCCCACGTAGTGGCTGGGTGCGGTTCCAACTGCCAACCTTTTGGCCAGCAGCTCAGCGCTTAACCATTGTGCCACCAGGGCTCCTTTTTGGTTATTAGATGGTGAGAAAATAATGGAAACAAGGAAGAACCTGGCCTTTAGTTCCAGCTCTAACACTAACTGGCTGCGCAGACCAGAGCAAATCTTCCCAGCTCTTCCAGTTTTCATCTGAGTAACGGGAATAACTATCTAACTCAATGATCAAATGTCTGCGCATGTGCAGTCAGATAATAAAGACCCCGCCGTTACAATTACCACTAGGGATTACTGTGCCCTCTAGGGTTCTGCGACTCTGCAGCCGCAGATGGGCCGGGGGCTCCGCGCTAACCACCTTCCCGTCCGCCCTGCAGGCGCCCTGGAGGACCTGGAGCGCGCCGTTGCGCTGAGCGGCGGCCGGGGTCGCGCCGCCCGTCAGGGCTTCGTACAGCGCGGGCTCCTGGCGCGGCTGCAGGGCCGGGACGACGACGCCCGTAGGGACTTCGAGAGAGCAGCGCGGCTGGGCAGCCCCTTCGCACAGCGCCAGCTGGTGCTGCTCAACCCCTACGCCGCGCTGTGCAACCGCATGCTGGCGGAGATGATGGGGCAGCTACGCGGCACCAGCAACGGACGCTGAATGCGCTGGATGGGCGCCCGCGGGCACAAGGGGCGGCCCCGAGGGAATAAAGCTGCAGGTGCCTCTCCAGACTCTGCCTGTTTCTGTGTCCAGCCCTCTCACCCCTGACCTCTGCACTGGCCTAGCAGACCGAAGGCACCCAGGTGTACCCAGCGTGGGCGGCCCTCCGCGCGTTATCAGAGGGGCAGGGGTGGTATGTTAGCTACTGCCCCCCTGCTCTGGGGGTGGGGTACACTGGGCCCGCAGGTCGGGCATTGATTGGCCCTGCCTGGCGCAGCCCGAGCCCCTGCGGCAGACTGCGGTCCTCATCAGACCTGAGCAGTTGCTCGGGCTGCGCTCTGAGAGGGAGCCAGGTGAGCGGCCCCGAGCTCCAGGGGGCGGGGCGGGGTTGGGCCGCAGATGCTGCGGCGACCTGCGTTCCGCCTCCTCTTTGCTACACACACCCACCAGAGCGATCTAAAGGATTAGGGAGGAGGCACAGTGTGACAGACGGGAGAGAAGTGGACCAGGAGAGAATCCAGGGTCGAGAGAAGGACGGTGCTTTTGGGAGGCAACACGCATACACCAAATATCTGTGTGTGTTTGGGCTTGGGGAGGGCTGCAAGGTTGCTCGTTGTTTCTGTGGCTCTGTGCGTTTGTGCCTGTTTGTCCCCTGTGTGTTCTGGGTCGGTTTTTTACCTTTGGATTTTGCTGTTCGTGTTGCCCATCGTTACTGTGGGTCTGTGTTTCCGTGGTTCTTTTGTTTATGGAGAGTAAATTCCTGGAGAAGTCCCGCAGGCCCGTCTGCTCTCACCTACGTTAACGCCAAGGCTTACCCCCTTCTCTCATCAGCCTGGGGCCCAGGCCGGGGCCATCATGGCACTGCCTCTAGGCTCAGCTACCCTCCCGCACACTCTGCTGCTCCTGCCCGCCCTTCTGAGCTCAGGTACACCCCTGTTCATGCCTTGATTAAGCCCTTCCGGGGCCCAGAGCCCCCACCTCCCCACCTTGCCTGCATTTGGTGTGGGTACTCCAGGCGGCAGGCTCCAGAGCCAGGTTCCTCCCACTCACCTACCCAAGGTCCAGCTAGTCCCTGGTGAGTGCACACAGGCTCTCTGTCTCTTGGCTTGCTTCCTCTGTAACGGGACCCTCATCCTGGTCACAGCACAGCACCAACCACCCTCAGTCTTCTCCAGAGAACCCTTAATGTGTGTTCCAGGTTGGGGGGAGTTGGCACCGCAGATTGATGGTCAGACCTGGGCTGAACGGGTACTTCGGGAAAATGAGCGCCATGCCTTCACCTGCCAGGTGACTGGAGGGCCTGGTGCCCCCCACCTAGCCTGGTACCTGGATGGACAACTGCAGGAGGCCAGCACTTCAAGATTGCTGAGCGTAGGTGGGGAAGCCTTCTCTGGAGGCACCAGCACCTTCACTGTCACTGCCCAGCGGACCCAACATGAGCTCAACTGCTCCTTGCAAGACGTGGGCAGTGGCAGGTCAGCCAATGCCTCGGTCATCCTCAATGTGCAATGTGAGTGCCCTGAGGTGGGCAGGGAGAAAGGTTCTCTGCCCAAGGGCCCCAGAAGCTACTGGGCAGGGCCCCAGCAGTACATTAACAAACAATGAGCACATAGTACTTGCCCTGCTGGTACTTTCTTAATCCTCATAATAATTCTGAGGTAATTCCTTAATTAATGCTGTTACTCCCATTTTACAAATGAAAAAACTGAGGCACAAAGAGGTTAAGCAATCTGTCTGAGGTCATGTAACTGGTAAGTAGCAGAGCCAGAATTCAAATTCAGACATTCTGGCTCTAGTGTTACTATGTAATACTGTCCGTATTCTTGGTCACTATGTAATACTGTCCGTATGGTAGAGCCAGTTGGCCTGCTTTCCAGTGGCCTTTTTAGGAGAATCCAGGTCCCAGCTTCCCTTCTGTGCTTGGAAAGAAAGAAGAGTAGTATGGGAGGTTTTTGACGAAAGCATATTGGCTTCTGCTTTATACCAGTTAAGCCTGAGATTGCCCAGGTCGGGGCCAAGTACCAGGATGCTCAGGACTCGGGCCTCCTGGTTGTCCTTTTTGCCCTGGTGCGTGCCAACCCTCCTGCCAATGTTACCTGGATCGACCAGGATGGGCCGGTGACTGTCAACACCTCTGAATTCCTGGTGCTGGATGCCCAGAACTACCCCTGGCTCACCAAACACACCGTGCAGTTGCAGCTCCGCAGCCTGGCACACAACCTCTCAGTGGTGGCCACCAATGATGTGGGTGTTGCCAGTGCCTCTCTTCCAGCCCCAGGTGAGCACTGACAGCAGGTGGCATAGCCAAGCCTCAGGTGGGTGCAGGGGTCACCGTAAGAAAGGTGGGGGGGACTTTGCCCTGTCAGTGAGTCTTGTGGATGAGGTGTCCACAGCCACATTGGGCAAGAGAGTCAGAGTTGTGCTTGTGGCATCTTGGGATTGGGGACATTGTCTTCTTGGGATCTAACTAAGGGATGACCTGCAGGGCTCCTGGCCACTCAAGTGGAAGTGCCATTGCTGGGCATTGTTGTGGCTGGAGGGCTTGCCCTGGGCACCCTGGTGGGGTTCAGCACCTTGGTGGCCTGCCTGGTCTGCAGGAAAGAGAGGAAGACCAAAGGTAGGGCCAGGGGTTCTTGGGGGCAGAGGGTAGCTGAGAAGGGTGAGCAGGGCAAGGGGTGGGCAGCTTGGGCAGTGAGTAGAGCTGTGCAGAGCAGGTTCTCTGACAGGCTGCAGAGGGCTTCCAGATACGGATATGGGTGAGACAACATGTGTCTAGGCATTAGGGCCAGGCAATGGGAACCCAGTCTCTGGTCCCAGGGTCAGGACTGGGCATTGGAAAGACCCTTACCTGAGGGTCCTGGGTCAGAAAGAGCATGGGGGCAGTGCAGAGTGGATGGGCACATTGAGGATCAGTGGCATGGTTTCTTTCTCTCCAGGCCCCTCCCGGCGCCCATCTCTGATCTCTAGGTAAAGTCCTGGGTGCGTGGGCAGGACCGAAATGTAGACCACTGGGGGAACCTGGGGCTTCTGGGAGGTTTGGGGCATGCCGCAAAGCAGGAAGCTGTGCCTGCTGGTGCCAAGGCCTAGCCAAGCCTTTGTCTGCCCTGCAGTGACTCCAACAACTTGAAACTCAACAATGTGCGCCTGCCACGGGAGAACATGTCCCTTCCGTCCAACTTGCAGCTCAATGACCTTACCCCAGATTCCAGAGGTACACTCAGGTCGCTGCCAGTTGTCCCTGCTCTAGCACAGTTACTTCTGAGTAAAAGGAAAACCTTGGTGCTTAGGAGGGGCTAGATACTGTCAGGCTCGCTCCTTGTCCTGGACACTACCCCTTTTGTCACTCAGCAGGGAAACAAGCAGACCGACAGATGGCTCAGAACAACAGCCGGCCAGAGCTGCTGGACCCTGAGCCTGGTGGCCTCCTCACTAGCCGAGGTACTGGGCAAAACCTGCTGCCCTCTTTTCTGCTTCCCAACCCTGTGCTTATGCCCAAAGCCTCTGAGTCGAGGGGGAGAGAAGGGTCTCCTAATTTCCAAGGAAAGAGGATCACTGAGACCCTGGGCATCTCTGCCCCACAGGCTTCATCCGTCTCCCAATGCTGGGCTATATCTACCGAGTGTCCAGTGTGAGCAGTGATGAGATCTGGCTGTGAACAGAGGGCCAGATGTGGATGCCTTCTTGGTCCCTGGGTACCCTCCCACTCCTCCTCCAAGACACCCTCTGCCTGGCTTTGTTGCCAACATGAAGAGGCCATGCCACTGCCACTTTGGCTTGGCTTCCCAGCTTGGGTGCCCTCAATGTCATACCCGTGATGAGTTTCACTGGGATCTGAACCTCAAGAGCAAAGGTATCCTTTGCAAGGCTGCCGGGCAGACCTAAGCCCCTCATTCTAATGCAGGTTGGCCTTTGCATGGCATGGCTGTGCCCAAACACATGGGGCTCTTTGGCCAGAAGTGCTCAGATGTCACCCAGCATCTAAGTGTGGTGTAGCCTTGTTTGCTTGGGCCTGCTCGGTGCCCCACTCTGGCTTTTCTCGGCACCTTGTCCCGTGGGCACAGGAGCATGCCTGGTTAGGGGACAGGACGGGCCCTGCATGTCTTGGATTTCCTTCCCATGCTATGCAGCTTCCTTCCCTCAGGGAAAATTTAGGGCTCTGCTAACTGTATAGAATAAACTGCTCTTTGCACAGGATCCAACCCCTGGCCCAGGGGCACTGGCCAAGCACAAAGTAGTCCCTTTTGCTGCATACTTCTCTGCCCTATCTGTCCCTGTCTCCTCTGGGCATGATAGACTATACAGTGGACCTTCTCCATCTCTTCACTGGGCACTAGACTTCCTCACTGGCCTGACCTCTAGCAGTGCCAGCACCTGGTGGTAGCACAGTTAAGAGGGAGATGAGGAGAGAAGTCTGGTGGTACCCAGCATGTGGCTATGTATCATTTTCTTAGTGTTAGCACTTTAAGCACATTCCTTGGGGGAGGGGGTGACAAGGACCGCAGGGCCCTCTTTGTGGCTTCCCCCAAGTCTGGCCTTCATATGATTCACTGTGAGTGCCCTGAGCCCTCGGTTTCCTTCAACATGCTCCCCTCCCCACTGGGCCCCACGCCTGACCAACTTTAGCTGTCCCACCGGAAGCCCATCTTCCTGCCCCGACTCTCTGTTCCCTAGGGGATGGTCACAGTGGGCACACAATTTGACAGTGCCAGAAGCTTTAGGAGGACATGGAGAAAAGGGGAGACCACATACCCCCAAATGACCTAAGAACACTTTAGAAGGCAACATGCAAATGATTGCAAATTAATTTACTGCAGAGTATATTTTTCCCTTGTTGATAACTTGTTTTGTAATTTTCTTATGTTACTGCCTCGATCAGTGCTGAGCACACAGAAACTTCAATAAATGTGACTAAGTGAATTCACGAGTGCCTGCTTCATTCCTTCAAATAGGGTTTTTAAATGCAGTTTTTCCATCATGCAGTAGGAAACAACAGCAAACACTTGGGTGCTCACCACCCATCTCTGTTGAATGTTAACCTTTTGCCGTATTTGCTTCACAACTTTTACTTTAAAAAGTAAAGAACATTATTTCTTAAATAACACTGTTCCTCGTAGCAGGGCTGGCGTTTTCTACATTGTATGTGCCAGCAGGGGCCACTAAGGACTGTGCCTAATGTTTGCTGAGCCCCTTTGTCCTGACAGGTACAGAAGGCTCAGACTAAGCTGTGATTTTTCAAAAAAAATTTTACTAGGTGTCAGTTCTCTAGAGCTGCTGTAATAGAAATAGCACAAGTGGGTGGCTTTAACAAACAGACTTATTTTCTCACAGGAGGCTAGAAGTCCCAATTCAGGGTGCCAGCTTCAGGGAAGACTTTCTCTGCCGCTCTGAAGGAGAGTTCTTGTTCCCTTGCGGTCTTCCTGTGGCTTGGCATCTATCTTCTCTCATAGGTGCTAGCTTGTGCTAGCTTGTATGGTTGCTTGCTCAATCTGCTCTTTTGTATCTCAAAAGAGAGTGATTCAAAACATACCTACGCTCATATTGCCTCATTAACACAAGGATCCCTAATGGCACGGCGGTTAAGTGCCCAGTTGCTAACAAAAAGTCAGCAGTTTAAATCCACCAGCCACTCCGCAGAAGAAAGAGGTAGCAGCCTGCTTCTGCAGAGGTTTTGGATACCTTTATAGAAGCAGTTCTACCCTGTACTTTAGGGTCGTTTTGAATCAGAATTGACTCCACTGCAATGGGTTAACAACGAAAACCTCGTTCCCAAATGAGATCATAACCACAAGTATATCACAACACATTTTTTTGGGAGACAAGTCAGTCCATGACACTGGGGGATTATGGAGAAAAATTGCTAGAATCAGGATGACTTTTTTAAGGGCTGCTGTGCAATGGATCGCTTTTATATGGCCTTTCTCGCCATGGATTTATAACTCCCACCAAATGACTAGGAGCTCTGGTGATGTAGTGCCTAAGGCACTTGACTGCTAACCAGAAGACTGACGGTTCAAACTCACCAGTCACTCTTTGGAAGGAAGGTTGGGAAATCTACTTCTGCAGTGATACCACCTTGGAAACCCAAGGAGGGGTCGCTATGAGTCAGGTCCGACTCAATGGCATATAACAACAACACAACAACAACAAACAAATGACTAGGTGGGACTATGCAAATAAGGTACTTGAGGCCCACCAAGGAGATTGGATAGTTTGCTAATAATGCAAATAAGGCACATAGCACACTTGTGTGAGTGGGTCTCCTCATGAGGGATTGGTCAGTTTTGCCATCCGAGAGGCAGTAAGGGGACATCTTGCTACCACCACGAAAGAAGAACTGAAGTCCCTGCACTGAGAACCTCTGAGACCCAGGAGACAAAGCTATAACACCAGAGAAGGTGCAACCTGGCAAGAAGTGGTGGCAGAGAGCCAGCGGCAGCATCAGAACAAGACACCTGCAAGAGACAGCGCAGTGGGCTTCCCAGCCCATGGAATGAGAAAGCTGTGTGTCTTCGGGCAGGAAGTTTACCAGCAGAGTGTGGTCCCTCTGGGCATTTATCAGTAGAACTACAGAGCTTTGTAACACTTGTCTGAATAAGGCAGAGGCTAGATTGGCCCAAGGGACCTGAGAGGCCAAGGGGCTGAGGGCCAGGAAGAGGCCTGCATGTAGATAAGGCTGAGAAGCTGTCCTGACCAACAAGCTATATCCTCAACCACTCTGATTCTGAATTGTAACCTGGTACTTCCCTAATAAACCCCATAGTCTTGTGTGTTATCTGTGAGTTTTGTGTGGTCATTGCAATGAACACAGAAGTAAAGAGTACTGTAAGAAGGATGGCTAATGTAAGAATTAGAACAAAGGTTAGAGGATAAAGGTATGTCTGACCTTCACTTCATAGCAATCAGCCTTGGGCTGTTGATGCTGATAATGATTCTCCTTCCCCTTGTGAAGTTAGACAAGGAGGCCTGACACTGCCACCATGCCATTTTTACAGTTAATGTTATTTATTTATTAACAAAAGGGCAGATTTATGCCCTACTTTGTTTAATGACAAATTGGCTTCACTTGCATAGCTTTGGGGCTTTCCTGTCCTTGTCCTACCCTCACCTCTGTCTTGTTCAGGACCCTCTTCCTGGGACAGCTAAGGCTGCCCCAACCTCCTAAGAACATGGTTCTGGCCTCTTACTAATTTTGCATACGAGTTTCTTTGTTCTCCAAAACTTTTGGGAGCCAAATGCCTCACTGTCATTCTACTCAAATGCTGCTCCCTTTGAGGAGCCCTGGAAGCCCTTTCTCGTTGCTTCGGCAAGGCTACAGGCTCTGAGCTCCTCAGCTGCACTCTTGGCCTTACTTTAGCAGGAAGGCTTGCTCTTCCCAGCCAGTCTCCCGTCCTGACCAAATGTTTGCTAGGCTGGACTTTTCAAACTAATATACCAGTCTCCATACAAGTCCCTTACATCAGGGGTTCCTTATTCCTCTGTGGAATCACATACCCATTGGAGAATTCCATGAAAGTTATAGACAGTTTTCCCAGAAAATGTAGATTAAGAAACCCCTGCTCCTTACATAGTCATATGCATTTGTTAAGACTCATCAAATTACAGCATGGATGAGCCTTGAAAACATTCTAAGTGAAAGAAGCCAGGCACAAAAGAACACATATTACATGACCCCATTTATATGAAATGTCCAGAACAGGCAAATCTACAGACAGAGAGGAGGTTCATGTTTGCCACGGGCTGGGAGGAGGGAAGAATAGGAATGACTGCTAATGAATATGGAAATTCTTTTAGGGATGCTGAAAATGTTCTGGAAATAGATAGCGGTGACTGATGCACAACTTTGTAAATTCATTAAAAATCACCAAATTGTACACTTTAAAAAAGGTGAACTTTATGATGTGATACATTAATTATATCTCAATAAGGCTGCTGTTAAAAACATTATCATTTGGTAATTAATTTGTGCATTTTACTGAATATAAATTTCACCTGAAAAAAAGAACCATAATTAAATATTGAACTCTAGTTAAACATATTGATACTGAAGTGTTCAGGAGGGAGTGAGGTACGTTAATATCTGCAACTTATTTTGAAATATGTGTATGTGTGTATATATATATATATGTTGTTGTTGTTATGTGCCATTGAGTCGGACCCGACTCATAGCGACCCCTCCTTGGGTTTCCAAGGCAGTATCACTATGGAAGTAGATTG